AAGAGCCAGTGATCCCTTGCCCACTGTGCATTTTACCCATAATCCCCATCAGTTGGCCTTTTCTAATTTAGACAGTTATGGGCTAACAGCTGACTCCATGATAGTAAGGTAAGACCAGACACCATCCTTCTTGTTCACAGTCCTGGAAGTTTCTTAAGGATATATCTAACTACAATGAAAAAATATCTAGTTGTGAGATGTAAGAAGAGTTGGCTTTTTTTTCCCGCATAAGATAAAAACTAGGAGACTTAGGACTTGAGAAAGTCTAGGCCTGGTGAGACAGCAGCTATCCCAAACCACTGTAACACTTTTCTGGACTGAGACTGAGGAATAGCTTATCATTTCCAGAGAACCACTTTCCTCTCATTTTCCCCCAATGAGTGTATAAAAGGTAAAATTTGATTTCTCCAGAATGTTTTTCCTGTTTGCAGTTTATATGAAGATTGATTGTCTTTCATCTTGCACCTTCCATTCCCTGTACTCTCTGGTGGCCTCGTTCAGGGTTATTCTAAACTCACTTGTTCGTTTTCTAGCATCTCAGATGCCAATAATTAAAAAAATGGCCATATGACAATTTTATTTGTGGAGTACAATATCCTAGACTAATTACATCAAGCTAATCAATATACTTATTTCTAAACCTACTTACTTTTTAATGGTGAAAACATTCAAGTTTTTAGCTGTTTTTAAACATAGATTGTTACATGGTCACCAGGATGTGTAATAGATTACTAAAGTAATTTCTTATGTCTAAATGAAACTTGTACTCAATCTTTCCCACATCTTTCTCCAATCTCTGGCAACACCACTCTATGTTTCTCAACTTTCTACTCTTTTAGATTCCACGTGGAAGTGTTATTATACTTCAATGAGTATAATGTCTCACAGGTTCATTTACTTTTTACAAATAGTGGGGTTTCCTTGCTTCTAAAAGGCTGAGTAGTATAATCTTGTGTATGTATGCCTTTCTCAATTCACTGACAGACACAGGACATTTTCATATCTCTATTTTTGAGAATAATGCTGCAGAGATACAGATTTCAGTTCCTTAGAGTATATATACCAGGAAGTTTTTAAAGCATTTTCTTACTGCTATCCAAAGTGTTTGCACTAATTCCTCTGGCCATCAATAGCATCAGATTCCCCAACCCTCCCAACCACTTCAGAGGGATTGAGTCTACAGGCTCCCATATACACAGAAAGTCTCAACTACTGAGCTATGTTCCCCTGTTCAAAATTAGGTACGTGTAGGGGAAGCTGTAGCCAGCCCCTAAGAAGGCGTGGCTACAGCTTCCCCTACAGGTACCTCCTCCTTTTCCCTCTGCCTCCTCTTTCTGCTCCTCATCGTCCTCATTCTTTGCTTTTCAAGACTTCTAGTTTGCCTAGGCTCCTCTCACCTCCGGGGTCCAAGCAACCAATCTGCCTTAGCCCCCTTAATATCCTAGGATCGAGCCTCAGCTCCACAGCTTTTTGATGTGCATAACTCTAAAAGTTGTGATAATTTTTGATTTTAATTTACATTTGCTAGATGATTGGGCATATAGATCACTTTCCATTTATCTGTTCACTATTTATATGTCTTTTTGGGAGAAATGTCTGTTGAAATGCTTTAGGCATTTTAAAATTGGGTTATTTTTCTTGAATTGCTTGAGTTCCTTATATATTTTTTATATTAGTTGATTAGGTGTATGGGCTATAAGTGAATATTTTCTGCTTATAGGCTGTCTCTTCTTTTCCTTGGTGATGCAGAAGCTTGTGGTTTGATGTAAACCCATTTGTCAACTTTTTTTTTCCTAATTTGTAGTTTTGGGATTATGACCAATACATTATTGACCAGATCAATGGCATAGGGGCTTCCCCTTGTTTTCTTCTAGTATTTTTAGAGTTTTGGGTCTTGTGTTTAGGTCTTTAATAAGTTTTAGTTTATTTTTATACATAATGTAAGAGGTCAACTTCATTCTTCAGTTTTCCTAACACCATTTATTGAAGGGAGTATCCTCTCAATGTTGTTTGTATGTTCTTGATTTCTTTGCTGAAAGTCAATTGATCATAAAACATACAAGTTGATTTATGTTTTTTTAATCCAATTCCATTGGTCTTTGTGTATGTTTTTATGTTAGTGTGCTGATACTTTGAAACTGGAGTGATGCCTAAAGAGCATATTCTCTCTCTCTCTCTCTCTCTCTCTCTCTCTCTCTCTCTCTCTCTTTCTCTCTCTTTCTCTCTCTGTCTCTCTCTCTCTCCCTTTCTCCCTCCCTCTCTTTCTTCTCCAATATGTGTGTGTGTGCATCACTAAATATAGCTTCAGCTATTTGTTATTTTTCCTTGTGTGTGTATGTTCCACATGAATTTTAGGATTTTTTCTATTTCTGTGAAAAATTCCATTGTCATTTTGATAGTGGTCAATTTGAATCTGAATATTGCTTTGGGCAGTGTGAATAACATTGATTCTTCTAACCCATGAATGCAGAATCTTTTCCCTTTATGTCATCTTTAATTATTGTTTCTTTGATCTTTAATTAAAGTTTCTTTAATTATTGTTTTATTGTTTTCAATTTATATATCTTTTTTGGTTAAATTTGATTCTAAATACTTTTTTGCTAATATAAATAGGATTATGTTTTTAATTTTTAAAGGATAGATTGTTGTTGGTATATATAGATACTAATATTTTTGCATGTTGATTTCAAACCCCACAACATTACTGATTCTTTATTCATTTACAAAAGCCATGGCTTCAATAATTATATGCATGATTTCAATTTCTTTTTAAGGGAAGACCTTATGTGTAGAAACATCTTACCTTCAGAATTCTTCGAACTATATCAGACATTCCCTAACAAACAACAAATCTACTATATACCACATATATTGCATAAACTGAAGACTTCACTGGAAGAGTTATTACTAAGAACATATTGTTTCCTCAAAGGCTCAGCACACAGTGTTTGCTTCAGCTTTTCTTTTACACCAACTGCTCTAACCTCTTGATCACTGACTTTGCTGTTTTCTACTAACTTCCCACATTCATCTCATCCTTCCCTTGATGCATGAGGTACTTTCCTGGATTTCATAACTTTCTTAGTTCATACTTCTCATACTTTTAGGTAAGTTGGCAATATTAGCCATTTCTACAGGATGTCTCTTGATACTATTTCAAATACCTGCATATGAACATTTGTTGGATTATCATTTGCACTCTCCTCTAGCAACTGCAGTTTTCTGAGTGTTGGGTGATTGTTGCTTTGGTGCCCACTGATCTTTTATAGCAAAGACACGCCATCATATGCTGTGGTGCACACAGAAGTCTGGCCAAAGGAGTGAGTAGGCTGATAGCCAGCCCTTGTTCCTTCACTCATGTAATTCCAGAGCCCTGTACATTCAATGGGTTTGCTGTTTTCACTAAAAAGGTGCTATATGGGAAAGTCAAAGCCTTCACTAAATATAACTTGTGTATCCATAGACTGGTATCAGGGGACACTGGTTTATAGCCACCATGTTTTATTATCACATTGCAAGACATATGGAACTGCTTGGCATTTGGAAAGAAAATTCATCCTGGTGAGTGTTGTGAGTTGGGCTCCTCAGGAAACAGACTGTGACCTTTGCATGCAGAACACCTTTTATTGTTTTTGGCAACTGGTTCTGGGAACAGCACATAAGAGATGTAGGGAAAACAGGGCTGGCCAGATGAAGTTGAATGATACTGTGGTTGCACCAAAGCCTTAGCCAAGCCAGGAAAGACCCTTCAGAGTTGCTCCTTGGCATCGGGCATTTTAAACATTCTCTTTGTTGCCTAGGTGAGAAAAGTAATGAATACACTTGTTAATAGTGGGGACTATCTATGTTAACTTACTGGATATATCTGTTAATAGCGGGGACTAGTTATGTTTTTTTTAATGTTGGCTTTGTCTAGAGCAGTGGTTCTCAACCTGTGGGTTGTACCCCCTTTGAGGGTATCAAATGACTCTTTCACAGGGTTCACATAAGATCACAGATATTCACATTACAATTCCTAACAGTAGCAAAAATTACAGGTATGGATTAGCAACAAAAATAATTTTAAGGTTGGGTGTTACCACAATGTGAGGAACTGTATTAAAGGGTCTCAGCATTAGGAAGGTTGGGAAACACTGGTCTACAGAAAAAAACAAATTTCTCATATCTTTATGACAGAAAGAAGTTTTTTTTTTTGATAATTGGAGCAAGGTGCCCACAAAATTAGGCTCTTAACCTCTGCTTGAGACTGGACTTGGGGAAAATGTCTTTTGATGTTTGTATTTCCAAGATCACTCCCCAGTCTTTGGGAAACACTCTGAGTCTTGAGACTTGCAGAAGGTGTATTTAAGATTTCCTAAGACTTCCCTTAGGAAAGGGAGAAATTCTGGAAGGAAAGAGAAAGGGAAAGTAAGCATTGCCTTATCTTGGGTAGCAAGAACCTCTTGGTCTCTATATTTGCCATTACTTTGTGGGTCTAGAACATTTAAGGCTGAGTCTCCTTGAAGTGCTGAAATGTTTTGGGGAACAACCAGAATTCAAGGCCACCATTTAAGCATATGGGGTGGCATCACTGATCAGCACAGCTTGGGCTTGGTGTTAGATGTTAACGTGCCATATAGTGATGAGAAGAGTCTTAGTCCCTGTTGTGTGCTCATGGAGAAGCTGTAAAATGTATGTTTTCTACCCCCAAATAAAGATGACAGCATTTACAACATGAAACTACTATAAATACCAAATTAGATAATACATATAAAACCCATATTTAGTAATTGATCACTAGTTCTTTTTCTTTATTTCTGAATATATGTCCTTGTAAGTAGAGAAAAAAATTATTGTGCAGTGTTGTTAAGAGATAAGGTTTCATGTTAAAGATTCTCACCATTATCAAATAAAGGTAACAAAGCAAAAAAGAAATAAATTAAAAGTGAAGAGTAGAGTCACCTTGAGCAGCGGGAGTGCCGAGGGCCGAGCAGGGGCTGCAGGGGAGTGAGAGTGCAGACTGAAAAATGCAGACCACCAAGGCATTGCTTATTACTCCAGTTCTGATCTGCTCCTGTACCAGGGGTCTAATCAGGCCTTTGTCTGCCTCCCTCTTGAGTAGACCAGAAGCCCCATCTAACCAGCCTTCCTGCAGCAGCTCCCCTCTCCAGGTGGCCAGATGGGAATTCCAGACCAGTGTTGTTTCTCGGGACATTGACACAGCTGCCAAGTTCATTGTTGCTGGGGCTGCCACAGTTGGTGTGGCTGGATCAGGGGCTGGCATTGGAACAGTATTTGGTAGCTTGATTATTAGCTATGCCAGGAACCCATCTCTCAAGCAACAGCTCTTCTCCTATGTCATTCTGGGCTTTGTCCTGTCTGAGACCATGGGGCTCTTCTGTTTGATGGTCGCCTTCCTCATCCTCTTCGCCATGTGAGGCTCCATAGGGTCAGCCAGCCATCTCTGCTGCTTCGACTCCATGCCATTCCTGGTGCTGGAGTGTGCTAAGCTTTACCATTAAACAACATTTCTTAAAAAAAAAAAAGTGAAGAGTAAAAGCTGATTGGCTGATGTCATATACTTGCCGTGTTTATAAATTACCACTAAACTTCATCTTATGCTGCTTGTTACTCTGGCCTAAGGCCTTATTTAGCTCCATTGGGGTTAATCAATGAATGTACAGTTTTCATTTTTTGCTTTGGTTATTTTAAGTCTTATTTTTTTCTGGGTTGTCAATTCATTTGATTATGAATTCATAACTGAAAGCTTTTCTTTAGCTTTTTGTTTTTGTAAAAAGTAGACATGAACAGTGGCTGTCAGTGTAGGAGAGTTTCTTGGGTAATTCGTGGACAAATTTGTGTTGTTTTTTTATGTTCTGAATGTCCTGGTTTCTGGCTGATTCCTTTGGGATGGACCTGTTATTTCTCACAAGTATTTTGTTTTGTTCTGTTTACTTTTGTCGATTCTTCTTTCTCTTGATTCCCTCCCATTGTTGCTTGTAGCTTAATTCACTGTAAGGAAATTCATCAGTGAATGGTTCCTTTACTTTTTGGAAGTTTTCATTCATGTGAATTGTTACAAATGGGCATACCAGTGTGTCAGGTGAGTGTGAGAGAGGAGTCAAGTTTAGTGAATTTAAAATTACATTATATAGTTTAAAATAATCCAGAGTGTATGAATGGCTTAAACACTGCTCACACCCTTTTAGATGAAGTCTCATGATGTGGGCCAGTTTGTCCCGGAACTCACAGTGTAACCTGGGATGCTCTCATATTTTCATGTTTGTCTCAGCTGCTAATATTGCTTGGCTATAGGTATTGCGCTGGTCAGTTTTTAACCTGACATTCAATCCTAACACAAATTAGGGTCATCTTGGAGGAAGGAACCACAACTGAAAAGATGCCTCCATCAGATTGACCTGTAGGCATGTCTGTAGGACATTTTCTTGATTAATGACCAATATGGAAGGGCTCAGCATACAGTGGGCAGTGCTACCCCTTTGCTGTGGTGTTGAGTTCTATAAGAAAGCAGGCTGAGCAAACCATGGGGAGAAAGCCCGTAAGCAGTGTTCCTCCACAATCTCTGCATAAGCTCCTGCCTCCAGGTTCTTGCTTGAGTTTCTGCTCTTACTTGCTTTTATGTTGGACTGTGATTGGGATCTGAAGCAGAAATAAACCCCTTCCTCAACAAATTGCTTTTTGGTGTTGATGTCTATCCCAGCAAGAGAAAGCAATCCAGGACAAGCATATGCCACCATGCCTACCCTAAAAACCTCTGGTATCTTTTAAGTATTCACCAGAATTGATCTTGACACATGATGCTTTCTAGTAATGTTTAAGCAATTCCTCAGTTTTGGGTTATTTTAGTTTATATACTATAATTAAAACATTCATTTGACTGGGATCATGAACCAGACAAAGAGCTGGAGTTCTCAATCTCTCTGTTTCCTGGAATCTCCTGAGTTTCTCTAAAAAAATATGCCCCATCTACATCCCCCAATACACACTTCGATATGGTCAAAGTGAGAATGCTAGTAGAATCTGCATTTGTTTTGAGACATGGTCTCATTGTGGTGTGGAACTCATGTAATCCAGACTGGCCATAAACTCACAGCAATCCTCCTGACTCAGCTTCTCAAGTGCTGGAATCATAGGCATGGCCCACCATTCTCTTCTAGAATCTTCATACTGAACATAGAAAATATCTCAACTTACTTCTTCATATATTTAGATAAATGTGAATGTGAAACCTTGTATTTTCTTTCCACAATTTTGGGAGACCAGTACAATAGTTTGAGTTTGAGAAAAATTTGTTGAATTTCCATTATGTGTCCATTAAATTTACACTGAATAAAAGTGAATAAGACCCAAATTTTAGTCTCAAGTAGAGGCAGATACACATAATGTGGTGGATTAATATAGCAAGCAAATGCAAAAGGTATTAATGAAGGGTAAAAAGTAACTTGTAATTTTGTACAACCAAGTCATGAAACATTAGATTATATAATCACACTCCTAATAGCCTAATGGTCCTAGTGTATAAAAGAAGTAGAGCAGCCAGAGAGGAGGATGCCAGAGTTGTAGACAGTAGCCATGGCCACATGTGCTAAAGAACTTGAATTCTATTCACCTGGCACTGGAAAGCCAATGAAGTATAACTGGAGAGGGCAGACATACTTTATGCTCATACCTCTAGCCACAGTGTGGAGGAAGGATATATACTACAATGTAATAAATTACTATATTCTATAATCAAATGAATTTGGATTACATGGGACTCTGAACACATAATCTAGAAATAAACTTAAGTGTGCATAAGAGTTTACTGTATGGTGAGAAAGACAATTCTTTGTTTTTGCTTTTTCTAACTTTAAATTAAAAACAATCTTATTTTACATGCCAATCCCAGTTCCATATCCCTCCCGCCCCCCATTCTCCCCATCATCTCCCCATCTCACCCCTCATCTACTACTCAGAGAGGGTGAGGCCTCCCATGGGGGATCATCAAAGTCTGTCACATCATTTGGGGCAGGACTGAGGCCCCCCACCTCTGTATCTAGGCTGAGATAGTTTCCCTCCATAGGGAATGGGCTCCAAAAAGCCAGTTCATGCACTAGGGATAAATAGTGGTTCCAATGCCAGTGGCCCCACAGACTGCCCAAGTTCCCCAACTGATACCCACATTCAGGGGACCTAGTGCAGTATTATGCTGGTTCCCCAGCTGTCAGACTGGGGTCCTTAAGCTCCCACTTGCTCAGGTCAGCTGTTTCTGTGGGTTTCTCCAACACGGTTTTGACCCTTTTGCTCATCACTCCTTCTCTACAATTGGAGTCCAGGAGTTTGGCTCAGTGCTTAGCTGTGAATCTCTGCTTCTGCTTCCATCAGCTTCTGGATGAAGGCTCTAGGATGGCATTTAAGGTAGTCATCAATCTCATTATACGGTAAGGACATTTAGGGTACCCTCTCCACTATTGCTTAGATTCTTAGTTGGGGTCATGAAAGATAATTCTTTTAGGCAAGAGAACTCATATAAACTTATAAGCCCTTATATACACACATGTTGTAGAAGATTTTCTTGGACCACCTTCCCCCCAAAAAACATGACATGGAGACTTACACTTAATTATGAGTGCGTGGCTTTAGCTTAGGCTTATTTCTATACAGCTCTTTTACTTCTTTACTTCAGTGAACCCATTTCTATTAATCTATGTGCTGCCCCAAGGCTCATTCACCTTACCTATGTACTGTCCATCCTACTTTCCTGCTTCCTCCGTGTCTGTCTGTCTGGCCACTGGAGTGGTGGCCCCCCTTTCCTTTCTGCCTACCTGCCCCTCCTATCCCTCCTCTTCGAGCTATTGGCCATTTATCTTTTAATTAGACCAATCAGGTGCCTTAGTCAGGCAAGGTGAAACAGCAACACATCTTTACATAGTTAAATGCAGCATAAATAAATGCAACACATTTTTACAATTATTCTATTCCACAACACATACAAATCAAATTTTAATAGAAACACAGGAAGAACAACTATTTACATATTTAAAAGGCTGTCCAATAAAATTTTTGTTATAAAAATTAACATTGTAGGCAGTGTTAATTCCAGCACTTGGGAGGCAAAGGCAGGCTGATCTCTGTGAGTTTGAGGCCAGCCTGATCTACAGAGCAAGTGCCAGGATAGGCTCCAAAGCTAAACAGAGAGCCCCTGTCTCAAAACAAAACCAAAACCAAAACAAAACAAAAATTAACATTGTATATCCAAAATCAACCAGACCCAAAGTGTATACATCTCAAAGAACAATATAGTTAGAATAGGCAATCTGAAGTGGTGGAGCTTCACATTAGAGTTTATAGTTTCACTACTGAACATATTTTTAATGTGTTTATCCACAATCAGTAATGAAATAGTATAATGAAATTTATAAAATTAAAAAAAAGTCTTGCAAGAAAGGGCAGAAAAATACCTTCAATCTAGAAATATAAAAGTTATTTTCTTCCACCTGCCAACATGACGGAGACCAAACCCAGTATTATAAGCAAGATGGATACTGAGTCAGCTTTCCCAGCCTGAGAAGAACTTTTTGACCAACATTGGGGACTCAAAAGTGTAAGAAAGGAGATCTATCTGACTTCAGGAAAATAACTGCAGACAAGCATGGATGGCATAACAAGGCTGTCACTTGTCATGTGCTGTCTGGAATATCTGGGAAGCATGTAGAGCCAGGTATGAACAATTGTAGTGATGAAAAGAAGGGACAACAAGGAGCTGCCAACTTAGATGAGATCTCATTCAACTGGTCCAAGCTGTGGAACAGTCATGTGGGAGGAGTGTTGTGATGGTGACCGTGGCTAGGATCCATTGGCCAGAGGTGACCCAGCAAAGAGAAACACATGCCCTCAGCTACCAGTGCCTCTCTTACCCCTTTGCCATAGACTGCCCCGAGAAGACTGTGACGATCGTGTAGAAGCTGAGGTAGACTCTGCAAAAGTGAACAGTTGAAGGCTGCCAGGGGGTCATATCCTCAGCAACTGGATCTCTGTTGAAGCAGTTCTGTGTTCACCACAGAACTCTTTTTGGTTTTAAATTTTACATATCAATCCCAGTTCTCCTTCCCTACCCTCATCCTGCTCCCATCTTTCCCTCACCTCACCCCCTATCTGCTCCTCAGAGAAAGCAAGGCCTCTCATAGGGAGTCAACGAAGTCTGTCCCATTACTGGGTTGAGGCCTGATCAAGGCCCCCCCCCCCCCCGTATCTAAGCTGGGCAAGGTATCTCTTCATAAGGAATGGGCTCCAGAAATCCAGTTCATGTACTAGGGATAGATCCTTGACCCACTGCCTCATTCAGGGGGGTCTAGTTGTGTCCTATGCAGATTCTGCTGCTATCATTCTGGAGTTGGTGAGCTCTCACTAGCTCCGGTCAGGTATTTCTGTAGGTTTTCCTATCATCGTCTTG